GAAACTGGTGAAACTTGGTGAAACTTGGTGAAACTGGTGACTATCTAAAATCTGATTGGCTATTGAATGCAATAGCCCATCAGATTTCAGATAGTCACCAGTTTCACCAGTGTGATTTAGTTTCACCTGCAGCTCTAGTATATACCAGATACGTATTTAAATTAAAATTACAGATGGAAACTATTTTTGGTGAGTTGGATCCAAAAATGCATTTTGATGTAAATAATTTTTATTTATGACACGATCACGGTATGTGATGTATAGCAAATCCGTCTCCAGGCCTAATCTTACAAAACTATGGAAACCAGCAGTTAAATCATCTAAAAATCATGATAATTTAATATAATAACGATTGAAAGGAAAGAATATGTGTAGTGTATGAAATGAGATAATAACGGGACGTTTGTTATTACGGTCACAATAAAAAGTAAAATGTCAATACTGTTACAACTTAATTTCTATCATTTAAAAAAACATAATTAAATAAGAGTAATATTTATATGAGGGTTTTGGTGACCATAAAATAATTAAAATCAAACTAATTTTTTTAATAAATATTTACAACAATAACATAATTTATGAATAAATTCATTCTGTTCGTGAGGTAACTATACTGACCCGGAGGTAGTACTTGGATCTTCTACCACATAATTACTTGGAAATATACCTTGTACAAAACGGCCGGTTTCTATTGGCAACAAACGTGTCATAATATTAGTCATAACCAATTAAAGAAAAACTCGATAAAGGATTAACATACCATCATCATATTTCCATCCTAGCCACCAGACATCTTCGCTAGTATCCACCACATAAATCGAATCTCCAACGTTTAAATTTAATTCTCCTTCTTCTTTTGCAATGAATGGATATCTTGCATAGTATTGTCGTGCTTCTGGGTGATTAGCTAAGAAATCTCGAGTTATCATTGCTTTATCAGCGGCAGAGATATCGCGCATTGCTGATTTGGGTTCCAATTCAGACGTTGTAAGTGCTGCAACTCCAGCTCCTCCCATAAAATCATGAGATTTTTCATCGGAAAGTGCTGCAGAATTTCTCATGTTACTAGATGTTACTGATTGGCGAGGATCACTATGTTGTGCTATTATTGAATTTATGGTAGCAAATAGTTCTCCCTCTCGCATTGCTTCTTTGCCGGAATTTCGTGGACTAGCTTTTAAGCTGCCTTTTGCCTTTCGTTGTCTTCTGAAATCGTAAGCTAGACCAGCCGCAACGATTAAAAATACAATGAAAAATGCTATTGCCGCAGAAATCAATATGACTATCGGAACTGGTAAGAATTCTGTAATAAGATAAAAATTTGAAAGTTAAAAAAAAAGACTTGTAATCATTTGGCCTTTTTTTTTTTTTTTTTTTAAAAAAAAAAAAAAAAACATACTAGCTAAGCCAAGGAGTTCAGGAATGATGGTCGTAAAGAGCGACAGAATGTGGCCCGGTTTTCCACGGCTTGACGTCAACAAGAAAGGATAAATCGTATTGCCATCGAACAAAGCAGCACTAACATCACCATAATCCTTTAATTTGAGTGTCCCGCTGATTAGAAGTAACCATTGAGGATCCAAAATGTCATTTTTTGAATGAGAACTGCTTGCAGGAACTAATGACATTTGGTTTATCACGGAGCCTGGCAATAGTTGTGGATTGACGTTTATATATTTGGAACCATCCCATTTTCGTATATAAGCCTCACCAGTGTTATAAACAGATCCAGAAACAAAATATTGTTGATTGCTCGCGAGAAAGTAATTAATAACTACGGTCGGGGGTCCAGGAAGTTGTGTATCTCCATTCCCTTGTGTACCTTGTTCTTTCCATGTATTTTTACTAAAATCATATTCAGCAACATAGACTAATCCGTTATTGCCAATCGTCATATTTCCAACGACGATGAGGAAATTCTGGCTTTGACTTGTCTAAATAGGATAATATCAAATAAGCAAAGAATAAATTAAAAAGATATATAGGAAAGATGTATAGGGATTAATTATTATTGTGGTTTACTCACTCCTACGAAGTCCATCGAAACAATTTCACCAGAAAGAGCCGGGTTTAGCGTTTTCCATTGTCCCGAAATAGAATTCCAAGAACAAATAGATGAGCAACTTGATTGACCAGCTTTATCAAACTTGCCAGCAACAATGTAATCGTCTGTACCAATCCGATATTTTATAGCATTGACTTTAACAATTTTATCATTGGCTAAAGATGCAAAAAAAAAACAAAAAAAAAGGTCACATATATATATATATATGCGTATACAATTTAAAAATATAGTAAAATATAGTAAAATCATGTAAAGTTACCGGTCAATGTTTGTGCATAGGTTATATCACTGTCTAAATTGTAAACGGCAAAGGCGCTACCATCTATACCATCAAGTTCACTTCCAACATATAAAATATTGTTCCTTAGAACAACAACTTTGACCTCTCCTCGAAAACTGGATGGAGACATACCCCTCCATCTATTATTGTCCAATATGGCTACGTTAACGATATCATTGATTTGGAATTTGCCACCAATTACAGTAAAAGTCTTATTACTTTTAGTATCATTCGATTGTACTGCACTGTTAATGATAAAATCTGATGTAATGCCATTCATCGTTTGCGGAAACAAGGGAAGCGAATTGTAACCTGATTTGGTAATTAGGCCTCCACCAAATGACATAGTAGATTGCGTGGAATTCATCCTGCCACCCCAGAAAGTAAGAGGTCCATTTTGAGAACTCGGTATATTATAAGCTACAATGTCACCAATTGTGCCCTCTACATATGCCGTATTAACCCAATTTCCTAACATATTATCCCACATACTATAGCCAAAAGTGGCATTACCAATTATGGTATTCTGGGTGGAAGATTGCGGATTTATTAAGGTGTTGAATTTACCGGCAACATGTATTTGTGGTGTTCCATTATTGACAAAAGCTATACGATTTACTTCACCGTTGACACCACCACTAATAGAATACCACCTGTTTTCATTAAGGTTATATCTCGCGATGTTATTCAATCCAGGTAGGGTCCCATTAGACAAGTTATTAAATAACCCACCAACAAATAAATCTTTATCGACTAGAGCCATCGTATTGACGCGTCCATTAAGACCAGAGTTAATAAGAGGAGTGAATTTTATTCCATCATATAACACAATATTGGAAAATGAAACATTATTGAAACTACCACCAATTACTATTGTTGTTGGTGATAATACAATTATATCATTTATTATAGCATTTGGACCCAAAAAATCTAAAAATTACAATATATATATATATATAATTAAGAATATTATCGAATACATGAAGCATAAACAGATATTGACACAACGTACCATTGAATCCATACCAAGAGGCTTGAACTGTTGCTGTTTGCGGTGAATATTGAAGTAAACCATTCAAAGAGCTACGATTATCGATCTTTACACATTGGATGTAATCAACGTATATGATAGCATCACTACCATCACTAGGCGCTACAGCAGATTTTGAAGCAGTAATTTCAACAATTGGTTGAAAAGTTGTCGATGTTCCAAGAATATAACCAGAATAGAGTGTGTAGAATGTGTCAAAATCAAGTGATGAATTTTGTGATATGGTCACCACTGATGATACACCCGGAGAAACTGTGACATTAACATCGATAGGTATAACGCTATCACATCCAAGTGAAATGCAAGATGGTGACCTAAGGGTAACATTATAGTAACCGGGTTGCGGGACATACGGTTTCATTATAAGCTTTGTTGTGCTATTAGCTATCTCATCTGCAGGAATCGTGGTTATCAACACAATATCCCAAATCCCAGGAAGTAATTCAGAAGTCCAGTTTCCAATGGTTGTTACATTTGGATAAAACGAAGAATTTGAACATGTAGGGAAGCCATAATTACTAATTGCACGAACGATAATGTCTAATATAATCATATAATTGAAGAAATTAGGAAGGTAACAAATCATATGCATTTAAAATTAATGAAAATTTTCGTACCACTTTGATATAGCTGAATACCATGAAGTCCACCTCCTTCACCATAACTCTCTAAAATTAAGATCTGAATAGCCCTCATTGTTGACGGAAAAACGAAGTTAAATATTTGATAATCAGTATTAGAAGGACCCAAAGGACATGAATCCGAGCAAGTAAACGTAGTTCCGTTGGTAGAGTTCGTATATGAAAGAGTAATTATGTCATTATTTGGAATGGAAATCAACCTAGCATTGATCATAAGCAGAGATTAAATCACGAATGAATGCTATTAGAAACATCATACACTCTATTGATTCACACGAATAACCAAAATAAATATTCATTCTACATACGCACGATTCTTGTAGCTATCGAATCGTATATTTACCTAAACGTCTTAGTTCCTCTTCCTTGGTAGTTAGTATTCTTGAGACCAATCGCCGTGGGCGTTAATTCATAATCAAATTTTATTCGTAATACACCCACTTCGTTGTTTTCCACTAACCACGTGTTACCCGGCCCATCAGGCTCAGAACTGCATATTAATACTGATGGATCAGAAAAATTTGTAAGAGTTGCCGAATTTCCAGATGATATCTTTGTTTTAAAATAAATAAATAAATAAATAAATAGAAAAGATTAACGTTGAGAACGAGACAATGATTAG